GAATCCGGAAAACAATTTTGTAATGATTTTCATTCAGAATTTGCTGACGTTTATGTTCTTTCCCAGGAATTTTGGGAGCGTGCCCAATTTAGAATTGGCTTGATTCTTGACTAGTGCTGCCCTGATCCCCATAGTTTAGGGGGGGGGGTGGGCAATTTATTCACGATCCAGCTATTCAATCCTACCTTAATACGTCGGAAAGCACATGGGTGTTAGGAAGATGAACTGTCTCCATGTACGGCTTTGGATGAACCTCGGCATGATGGCGCTGGTGATATCTTCTTAACTCTTCACGAGGTTGATAAATGACCTTATGTTTCGGCGGGGATCGCCTTCTTCAGAGCCTGAAAGGGTCGAAACAATTTATGACTACCCGACCAAATGTCTTAACAAACCCTACTGAAGTTCGAGATCAAAGAACATGAACTGTCACTCTGATTTTGTGGCAAGAAAGAAATAGGCAATTAAGCTTCTCTTTGATGATTATGTATCACATTTCCTCACATTCAGAAATGTTAGGCTTAAATGTTGAAGCCAAGGTGTACCTGTGGGGCTCAGTCTTGATAGAGCCTATCGGAATGGACGGGAATTAGCATTCAGAAGGTTTAAAGCCTATCAGGTCTCCACTTCAGCATGCTCCACCTGAAAACCTATTTTTGAATGACTTCCGTGCCTCATACATATGTTTGAGCACCATATGAACACGTCTTGATCATGCGCAAAGCCTTCTGAAGATCCTTCCCCACTGCCTTGTTCCCCTACCGGAGCCGAAGTGTCTTCTGCCTAGAATGTTGAATTTTCCAAAGTTGACAAAAAAAGCAAAAGAAAATAGCTAAACCAGATGCTACGATAATTTCCGATTTCCGTGTCGGCCCACTGAAGGGTGTGACTATTTAGGTAGTTATCGTGAGAACACGTTGATCGCATCAGTGTTGTCCTTAATGGACGACCACACCCAGAGTAGTGTCAGTAATGGACGTTACTGACACTACTCAGGGTGCGGTATGTTAGCGTCGCCGAAAGGGCGAAGAGACTTGATTCGCATTGAATGAAGAATTCGACGACGTTGAAATTGAAACGTAGCTGACGTCGCCATGGGGGCTCTTTCCAATCTATGGGAATCAATTCGGATACACGAGTTGTCCAGCACTGGCGATCGCCTGACAAATTTCACACCATCGCCAAAACAATGTCGGTGCAAAGTTTATGTAGGCGCTAATGTTTCACGTTTGGTTTCTCTCAGTAGTTGTGCTGACTGCGGGCTGGAAGGCCGTGAGGAACTCGTCAAATCTAAAAGAGTTTATGTAGGACGTGATCTTACAAAAGGAAATAACTGACTGCTTAGAAATGTAGTATTAGGTTGAATCACAAGTAAGTGCCGATTTGACAAGACTTTTCAAAACTCGCAACTTTCTTTCGAACGATCTTGATCAAGTGCCATATTTATCACAGCTCAGCACGGTCTACAAGTGTCCTCAATCTATTCGCAAGTGAATGGGTACCTTTATCACAGAACTACGCAATCTTCGACGTCGAGAATCAGTGGACTTCTGTTTTGAGGTGTTCGAGATCTTCGTAGTTTTCTCGCAAGGAAACGGCAAGCAAGTGAACAATGGTGGATGTTGCTGTACCTCAGTCATTAAAGAGCGAGGAAAACCATGAACCAAGTTTCTGTACAGTATACTGGCATTCCTAGGATATGTCAGGATACTGCGCAGTGGAACAAGTTCATTTACTGGAAGCCTCACCTTTGTGATATTCGGAGCAACTTTGTCCAGCTGTAGCAGAAGTGTCTGACACAGTGGTGCATTTTTGAAAGCGTAAGTCGAAGCAATCCTAAAATCGAAAGCGAGTGTACGGGTGAATTCCCCTATTGGAGCTCACTGTCGCTGCTGAGGCTGCACGTTCCTCACTGATGCTGTGTGTTGCTTGGGTAGACTGCGCACTCCTCAACCCCAGTGACCATCTTGTCAAGCCAATCGAAACTACGACTTTGGACAGCAAACTTTGGGAGATGATCACACGTGTCCTTCGAGCCACCTCGTCCAACTCGTGAGAATTCCATCTTCCCAGCGTGTACAATTTCTCCATGGCTCAGAGGGAACGACACATGGTGCACTGGGAGGACTGAAGGTCTACTGCAGTTTGACGGGTACTGGTACCGGGTTGCCTTCAAGAAGCTCTTGCATGCGTTCAATATCTACGGCCATTGGGTGTCCAAAACATGGTCGGTCTTCAGGGTTATAGTCGCCCTGGCGAAGCTTCCCGAACCACTTCCAATAGATATTCCTTCCGACAGGCTCTACTGCTGAGTGCCCCAGACGGAAAAAATAGACAGTGACGAACATGTGTTGAAATGGACGGCATTATTTCTCTCTTAAAGACGAGTACTGACGGTCGAATTTCGTAATATGAAAGGACACTAAGGTCGCCACATACTCCTTGCGGGGAACAACACAAACATCGTTTGGGAAAGAAGGCGCGGGTGTGAAGAAATCGGCAGTAACTTATGACGCAACCTAATCCTTTAGGGTTCAGTAAGCTACTACCACACTTATGTTTTCGGATGTCGACTGCTATTACGGTGCAGTTCGCCATGCAAGAGTTATCATAAGCAACGGGGAATGCAGAACTCCTCGCTCAGGCGGGACTCGAGCAAGCACCTGTTTTCTCAATAGCTGGAGTTTTTAGCCTCGTCACTGCCGATGTCGCTCACCGGCTCCTTACGTTTTACATGTGTCTGCTGGTAAGTAAACCATGAAAAGCTGGTTGCGGTGGACCGCTGCCCCGGTGGTGCTTCCAAACTATAGGTGCAGGTTCGACTCCCGCCGGGTGCGAAGGGTTTTGCTCCTAACTTAGTATTGGTGTGGAGCCCTTCTCCATGATTATTGGACCCATATGTAACTATGTAGACGTATCCCTTGGTATCCTAAGATTGCCTAAGAACACGCTCCTTTTGTGGAATGTCCTTTTATCTGCGTTCTCATGAACGTTGCAGAAGATTTGAGAAGTACTTGTCGAGGTAGAGGATTCAGCGCTAAAACCTGCTAGAAGAAGCGGTAGGCTTCGAAGAGTATGACGACCACATTCATGACTTACTTAGCTAACGCTAGCAGTCTTTCCCACAACGACATTTAGCGCTTTCTCCCGCACAGGTTGGGTCTGAAAGGGGAGCCGACCTGTTCTCTGATCTGCTGAGCTGGAGCTGACCCGCTGCTGATTAATCGTTTCGTCTGGAGAGCTTCTCGGCGCAGCATAAGCCCTCACTCATCCAAAGAAATAAGACTGCGCGGAAAGATGGTCCCATGTCGAAGGAGCCGTCGCAAGCAGTGCTAAGAAGGACCACTTCCGTTGAAGTTATTATCTGACTGTGTACGGTTTCAAGTGAAGTCACTTCGCTGAGAGGTGGGTCATGGCACGAGACTGGCAACTTCGAAACGCTGGCCAAAAGGGTGTGCCCGCGAGTCGGTCAGGGGCGGGTCGTGCAGTTCTTTCTTCGGCGACCATGCAGCTATGGCAGCCGTATTTCCATGTCACGGTAAGACAACCCTCTTTACACTTTATTTTATTTTTGAATATCACCTGCTTTTTGATTCTATCCAGTCGACGAAGTCGATTCCCTTAGGACTGCGATTAAACCAGTTCTGTTGCGACATCAGCTAACAGCGAATCTGGATCAATTCCTTTTTCTTCTGTGCCTTCTGCTAACTAGGCCCAGAATTTTATAGAGTTGCCCACTAATAGTCGCAATAAAAACTATGGGAAAACTGCCAAATAGGGAAACCAGTTCTAACAAACGAGATTTGATTCATTTTTTTCAGATATTCTTGGTGGCATTTGTAGCCTTAATATATTCACAGAATACTCCACTCTTTCCAGTAGCATGTGAGCTCAACGTGCTTATTGTCCTTGACAGGTACGGCCAGTCTTATATATAATTCCCTTACAGTACTCTGCAGAACGCATGTGATCGGTTAATTCCAGGTCAGATCCGTGAAAGGTGGCTTCAATAAGAGCCGAAAGTTTGTCACAGATGTATCCGAAGAGCTACAGATTGGGCCCCATAAGCATCGGGTAGGTGCTCCTTTGAATCGATTCCGTTTACGAAACTTAATTTTTTGAATTTTGTAATTTTTGACTATTTTTAGGTAGCAATGATCGTGTACTCTGGGCTGAATTACCGTAGGGAAATATTTCCATGGAATTTTGCCAAAACTAACCAGGAATTCGTGAGGATCACCAACGATTTACGAGCGATTGGCGGAACCACCAACACGAAAAAGGTTGTTGCTCATTTCTTCAATTGTAGGTTTTCGCTCAGGTAGTACAGTGTGGTTTTCCAGGCTCTTGAAGTAGGAATCCAGTTGCTGAACCAACGGAATACAAGCATTCCAACACTTGTTTTGGTGGTAACAGACGGAAGGTATGATGAATTTCGTTGTTTGTTTTTGTTTGTTGTTTGTTTACCCCGTAAGTTCAACTAATCAAGAAAGAAATCAAACCATTGCTTTGTCACAAATGTCACTTCACATTACAGGTCTGCGGATGACCCCAAAGGGCCAGGACAAGAAATTCAACGCATGTCGAACACGTGGGTGTTTGCCGCTGCCACCGGAGATCCGGAAAAAGTCGACAGGTTTGTTTTCTACCCTACTTACGTTTTTGCGGATATCTCGGAGTAGGAATACATTCCAATAATCTCCACTTAGTTTCTCAAAAATTATACTTTTCCACAGTTTTTCAAAAAAAATCTACCTTTCCACCAAATTCGCTTGAACAAAATGGAACTGGAGAACGTTGTCCTCATTTTTTATTAAAAACTGAGAAAAGCGTTCGATTGGATCCTAAAGCAGGCAATACCTCCTTGCCTGTCATTTTGTTCTCAGACTTTCCACGTCATTCCACTTTATTTATATGCTCTGCGTAAGTTAGAGCTTCCGTAATGGTGGACACATTCAAGTGCAATCACGATTCTGAATAGATGCCGGATGCGTGGCGCATTCCAAAAAGAACACGTGAAAGCCGAATTATTTGTCCTTCAGTCTAAATCTGCCGTAGAATTGCTGGTCCAGCATAATTCACAGCTTTGAATTGTCTAACCGTAAGTGTTCCAATAACCAAAGCTGATCCACTTGCGGATACGAAAAACCCTCTCAAATAGGTACAGCTAGGACTGTTATAATTTTTATATGGTAGTTTGGTTGTTTCTACAGCTGAACCTAACGAAGACGATGTTTATGAGAAACGGATTGGTTCCTGATGCCCCATTCACGCTCAACGGAACGAACATCACCGAATGCTCCAGCTACGTGTACCTAGGTCGGGAAATCAATATGATGAACGATCCTAGCTCCAGAGCT